ATTTATCCTGCCTGCCACCATTAAATAAACATCGGCAGGGCCCCCCCGCGCAGCCCTGCCAGCCGGGAGGAATTTACACAGCCCGGGAGCCCTCCCGGCTCCCATCTGTCTTGCGTGGCCCCGGCCTCATCCATCACCCGTCCCGTTTGCTGCTGCAATTACCTTGTCCCCTGCTCCTGCCCGGGGAAGATGGATCTTGCTAAAACCGGGTGCCCCAGCCCCAAAAGTGATGGGGTGGGATCCTGGTCCTTGCTGGGGGTCCTCAGGACCAAACACCCTCTTGATGTGCCAGGGAGCCCAGGGAAGGCACATGCAGCCGCATCCTTCTCTTGCCCAGGGCTGAGCACCTTCCCAGACTGTCGTGGGGACCCCACCCCCAGCCAAAACCAGGATCTAGGTGCTCTGTGCCTCAGTTTCCCCCCCTGCCGTTACCGTTGAGGTTGGAGGTGAAGCAGAAGGCGTCGTAGTGCTCGCTCTCCTTGTGCCGATAGCCGTAGTTGCGTACCCCCACCGGCGTGTCCTTGCGGCCGCACTCCTCCCGTGGCCGGGAGATGGGGTACTGCACCGAGCCGTCCTCCAGCCAGCCGGCGTTGCACCAGTCCATGCCCTCCAGCCAGGCCTGGTGCAGCTGGTCGTGCGAGGCCAGGATGCCATCCTGCTCCAGGCACGCCTGCTGCGCCTCGTGGAAGTTCAGGGTGTAGCGACCCAGGCGTGGGTGGTAGGGGAAGATCACGCCTGAGGGTACAGAGAGGAGGGCTGGGGTGTGGGGGGTCTCCCCCGCCTTATTTTGCAGCTGCACCCAACGAAGGGGGTCATTGCATCAGCACAAGGCACCAGGAGCCGGTGGGAAATGGGAGCCGTTGTAAAGCCCAGTGAAGATGAGCTGCCATCGTCTCTGCTCAGGGAGTTTGGGTGCTCCAGGCTTTGTTCAGTAACCCCAAAGTCCCTCCACCCTGTGACCGCAGGGACCCCCACGGCACCCCCGGGCTCCAGGGGCTGCTGCTCTGGGACCTGGGGACATTGGTGGTACCATGTGGGGTCTTAGCCGAGCCCTGGTGTCCCTGGAGCTAGCCCATACTGGCCCGAGCCACGTGGCTGTGCCTCCCGAGCCCCCAAAAAAGGGTTTTCCCCCTTTCACGGCATCCCCAGCCACAGCAGCTCATCCCGGTGGGCTTGGAGCCGCGCACGGCACCAATGCTGCTGCCACATCCCGGTCCTCCCCGGTGCTTTACGAGGCCGTGCTGCTATCTATCTCCAGCGTTTATTAGCTGCCAGCGTGTAAACCTGGAGCAACAATAAAAGCCAATAACAGAGGCAATAAACCACGGCACACGCCAGGAAAAACAACAGGCCGTAAAGCAGGACCGAGCCCAGCTCGGGGACGCGGCACCAGGAACCACGTCCTGGCCATCCTGCGTGGGACACGGGGACACCCGGGGTCCTCCCCGTCCCCATCCCTCCTCCCCGCCGTAGCCGTGCCGCTACCTTCGAGGTCCAGCTTGACCATGCCGGTGTCATCCTCGAGCTCGTTGGTGACCTCGCACTCGTAGCGGCCGTAGTCTTGCAGGGTGACGTTGCGGATGATGAGCGAGGCGTCGCCGAAGCCGTCCTCCTGCAGAGCCGTGCGGCCGCGGTAGCTGCCAAACGCCCGCCGCGCCTTCCCCAGCGCCACGAAGACATCCACGAAGGCCATCGGCTCCGTCACCTTGGTCCACTTGAGGCGAATCTCGGCCGGGTCGTGGGCGGACACGTCGTAGTGGTACCGGCAGGGCAGGATGATGGTGCCGCCCCGGTGCGTCACCACCTTCCCCGGGGCCGTTTGCACAACCACGGCCCCACTGTCACCCTCTGCAAGGGACACCGAGCTCAGGGGAGTGTCCCTGTCCCGAAGCCTGCCCCTGCCTTCATCCCAGGCAGTGCTGGCACATGGGCAGGACCCACGGCGGGGACGAGGCAGGCTGGGGGCATGGGGCAGGCGGGGGGACCACCTTTGGGGGGGAATTTCCCTCTTTTGGGGTCTTTGGAAACCCCAAGGAGGGTTGGGCAGCTCCCAGCCAAGGCAGGGGGGACACAATGGGTGCCCCAGAGACCCTGATCACGCTTTAATGGATATTAAACCCAACAGCCTGACAGCTGCAGGACGGCTCCCCCTGTCCCATCCCGGGGGTCCAGCCCACATCCCCACTGTGGACCCCCGTCCCCACTCACCCATGACATGGACCACCTTCTTCCGTCCCCGGGTGCTGAGCAGCGTGTCAGAGGCGAGGACACCGGCGAGGAGCAGCAGAGCTGCTGGGCCAGCGGCCCAGGGGCCTCGGGGACGCATCTGGGGGGAGAGCAGAGCCCCTTAGCACCCGCCGGCCCCCCAGGGAGGAGAGCGGCGGAGGGGAGGTCTGTGAGCAAACCCACGCTCTGCCTGACCCCCGGCAGCGATGCTGGTCCCCAACCCGCACCCCGTGGGGGCTGTGCCAGCCAGG